CAAATGAAAAAATCTATATGCAACAGCTACCTTTTAACATATCATATGCTCAATTACAAGTATTAGTACAAAATATTCAGTACTGACTAAAATTGAGAGCGACTGTTATAACGGCGGGTCGTATCATCCTTCCAATCAAGAATATTTTCATTTCATATAATAATGAAACTGATGTTTCATCTCTAGTTCATCAATTGAATGTTTTTCGTCCATGGCCACAAGTCCCTCATCAAGGAGAGTCCCTCATCGCAGCGGCAGACCGACATGAATGGGTCGAACACCGGCGTATACCTACATTTATATTTTTTCAATCATTCGAAATAGATGGATATCTCGAGATGGTCTCTTGTATGCCAACAATGGTCATGTTAGTCGCCTCACAATGACGATAAATCTTCATTGGATTAATTGTGTTAGTGGACCTTTGCCGCACTGGGTCAATATACTCTTACGACACGAATTAAATGGTAATAATAGTTTTCTTGGGACGGGGTTTGTAGTAAAGGTACCTACAAATACCAGATGAATAGGGCATGTAATTGAAATTTTAAATTGGTAGATACAATATTCTAATTATGTATAATGTCCTGATTTTCTATTGAACTTTCTCATCCAACCCCTAGTACGTGATCCTACCATGTCCTAACATTTATATGTAAAATTTTTGAATTAATGTATTGATATCAATTAGATATGAGGTACAATGAATATTATTAAGTTTTGTATTTATTTATGTTATAATAATTAAAATGTTTTAAATAAATAACAAAACTTGCCTAATTCTAACCTAATTCCTTACTTGATAATTACATAAGTATATTCAATATACTTTTGTGTGTATAATAACTATATCAGTAAGTCATACACGTCCAAGAACATGAAATTAGAATATCAGTTAGATCATTATTTGTGTCTCAGGTGAAGTAATGGATGTCTTATCTTCAATATGAATGTTCCTAGGATAATGTTACAAGATTGATGAAGGACTCGTGGCTCGACTGGCACCTGTCCAATAAGAATGAAAACGGTGTACAATCCCAAAAGAAAAAAATGTTTGTCATAACATATATTTGGAAACGTATTTAATTTAATGAATAAAAAATCTAGGATGAAAATATTTTACTATTGAAGATCAGTTTGTATTTCTACTTCATTCAAGTGTTAGTAAAGTCATTAAGATTTGTAATGCATATTAATATGAAACAATAATAAATTATAATTTTTCTTCATTTGAACATAATAGAAGTGCAATTTCTTGTTATAGTATTCGTTAATTGATTATCGCCCGTATTTTTAATTTGAATTAATATTCAATAAAAATAAAAAAAATCCTATGCAGCAGTTGTTACCTAGTTGAATACCAAGAATAAAATATGCAACAGACGTTAAATTCAAATAAATATTTTTGGGTGTTGTTTATCATCACCCAAAACTTTTAGGTACTTAGTTCTAAGCATTTCCAAGACTTTGTAGAAGTATTAATGAAGTTCTCTATTAATGTCACACCTAAAATCAATATATCGAAAGAGGCTCAGGGCCAAATTGTATAAGTATAAAATATTTTACTAAACTTATTTAATTAGCATGCTATATGGATAGATAACAAAGGGGTATATCTAAGTTGATTATATATTATGAGAGACAAATAGTAACAATAAACAAATAATTAGAGAGTGTGTAATGGAGACGAACGAAGTTAAGAAATGGTTATTTTACCAATTTTATCTGGCATAGAGAAATTATTAAAAAAAGCTAATAAACTCAAAACATTAACACATTCTGGATCATAAATAGAAGGCAGTACAATAGTACGAAACATGAAAATTAGGCTTCTGAAAACATATTAAATTAAAATAATATTCGTAATCAACTTTGAATGGTCATAGATTAATTTAATGAACAATTTGTATATATCCTATGTATAAATTTGATTTCATTCCTTTTCCACATTATATTTAAATGATTACAAATACTATAGCTTCCCTTCCAATAACTTTTCCAAACTAGCTAAAAACTAAAAGAGTTACCTCAATTGGAATTGATTGTGAGTATCTTTAATAATAGTAATTATCAATATCATGCCAATAATAATAATAGTATAAACAATATAATACTATTTTTTTAAGTGCAATTCGTTTCAGATGTTATTTGGAGTATTATCATTCGAGTCTGGAGAAAACAGGCATATTACCATTACAAGTCAAATAATGACATTGTATTGAGTTTCATTCATCGAAATTCCTATAACGAATGCGGCGGACGTCCTATAATTAATGGAACCCGATTCTCGAAATTTATCGGAAAGACGAATTATTGAAGTCCATGACAAAATGGTACGACCGTGGCGGGAAAATCAAATATTGCAATCGGATACGAGGCGGCTGAAAAAGATACGAGAAATGGCACATGGGAATTGCATCTGGATTTCTATACAGTGTTGCATTAGAGAGAAAAAATTATTGATTAAAAAATATTTTAATTGTGTTGAACCTTGCAAGTAGAGGCGAGAAAACGTGACATCTCAATCGAAGCAACTATTCCAAAAGCTTTTGGTTGTTCCAGAAATTCCAAAAAACTTAGAACAACTGAAGACTAGAATTCTCTATTATTTTGCTGTTCGAGCTTAAAAAGACAACAAACTAATTATTAATATGCCAAATATTTTTTCCTTTATTTATTGAATAGCAATCAGAACTTAACGTATCCTATGAGCTTTCGTGCTGACATCTTAAAAGGGGTGGTTTTCATAGAAAGTTGCCCAAATAGTTGTCCTATCTTGATGTGTTGAATTACTGCAATTTCTGTATCTGCTGATTTTTTATCCTTTTCAATTTTGTGTTCAGTTTTCCTTTATTATTACTACTGCCCTGTTCTTTTCCGTGGAATGGTCGTCGGCTCATCTCAAAAGCATCTTTGACGCGTGTTATTGATGTCTCATTTAAACTTCGTAGGCGACTTGCATGCACTCACTACCTCTGTTTCTGGTGTATGTTAATTTTATTCCGAAAAGGTTTTATTCTCTACCGAGAACTTGATTATTGGACATCGCCTTTGATTATTAAGTCGTATAAGTCCTACTTATTCGGGCGAGGTCAATGAGACACAACAAACTGGTATTTTAATAGGAATGACATTATTTTCCGAACTAATTCTAACATAATGGAAGAGAATTTTTAAAGCACCGATTATATCAATTCCGTATTTGGTAGAAAAGTTTCTCTTACATCGGAATTATTCAATAAGCAATAGAAATATTTCGGATGATTAAGTACAATCGGCCGGAGATAAATACTAGTACCCACACATATCATATATTATTTATTTAATTTTCTAATTCCGAAGTGCAAAGTTGTGCCGATTCTCATATTGGTGTGATCTCTGTAGCCATAATGTGTTAATCAAGAATAAAGTGCAGGGGTCAACATGATTATAATCAAGTAATTATGGCAATTAATTGATCATTAGAAAATTAAATAGTAGAATCTGTTGGTTCCAGTAGTTCATATTATAACTAACTCAGACCCCACTGTTACTTTGACATTTAATTAGACCCGAAGGCAAAAGGCCAAGTTGGTCAACTCTCGAGATTATGTTGTACGGAAATAAAAGAACTATGAATACGGCGATTTACGAAACAAATTTTAACTAGGATTAATGCCTCTTGTCATCTGATACCTTTATTTTTTAAAATTATGACTAGCTTGAGACAAATTTATAAAAGCACGGCAAATCAAAAAATTCCATTCATGAATTAAAGACGGTGAGCGAATGTCGCCTATAGTCGACGCTGATGACAAAAGGGTTAAATTGTATATAAAGTAAAATAAAATAGAAAAATCATAAATAAAATAGGTAATAAATATTGGACTTGCTATAAAGTGGTACTGGAATGGAACTTCGGTGCTGTGTACAATTATAATTGGTTAAATACCAGAGCAAAAGCTAATAGAAAGATAAATAAGTAACAAGAATGATAAATTTGACTAATATTATTTTGTCTGCATTAAGTGCAGTTACGTCAGCGCACCGGGTGTAAAGTATGAATTAGATAGTCGGAATTCTAACCGGTGTATCGCCCTTGGAGGCGCTGGCTGGTCAGGCTGGTCAGGCTGGCAGGCAGGCACACGACACGGGCATCCGGTAAAGCAGGTAAGCTGGCTTATAATCGCACAGGCCGACACCCACCGAGCAATTAATTAAAAGCCAGGACGGCAAGAGATATGTTTTCAAGGAAATCGCTTTATATATTTACAACGCAACATTTATCAACGCGATCCGAACGCTCGACACGTACCTGGTAAAGCGCGTTTTCCTCGTTGGAAGCCCAGCAGACATTCTAAACATTTCTTATTATTTTGTGCATTTATCATAATAACATGTAATTGCATTTCCTATAACAGCATGCATGTGATCGAGCATGAGCCATATGCATTCGCAGTTTTAGATATTAAATAAAATTCAAAAACCTACAGAACGTTTTAAAATATTAATCCTCAAATATTTTTAATTACGTGTATATATAATATATTAGTTTATTCCATAAGATAACTATCCTTGAGAATCTCGTCTCTTATGAATAATCTCCGTCCATATATCTTATCCCATCGAAAAACTTAATTCGAATCTGAAAAGTAATCCGAGCAACGGTACTTGCGCATGTACTAGGAAATGTTTACATGAGTTGTAATATCGAAACTAGAGCTTCCTACTTGTCTGGCTGACAATTTACAATAATATGTCAAACGTTTGCATGCGATCGCACTTGCCCACATAACATAACATAACTTATGGGAATAACGAGAGCGCATGCACCCGCGATTACGTGACCCGATGGAACTGGTCTAGATCAGAGGATAACGGATCGAATGCATCGTTTATTATCCCAAAGAAAATTAGATTCTTTATAATATCAATTAAGTAACAGATCACTAGATCAAAACGCAAAAAGGACAAAAAATGGCAGCAGTGGTAAATGAGATATACATAAATATTTTACTAACCTGTAGGTCATCACTTTCTGATCTGACTATTGTACTTTCAGCACACTCATTCTGTTCTTGCTCAGTCTCTACAAACACTTCACTTTCTGCACTTTCCGTGCTTTCTGCATTTTCAGCACTTTCCGTACATTTTCTATTTTCAGAACTTTCAGTACATTCAACACCTAAGTTTTCTGCTATATTTCAACTTCACCATCGGAAGTTTTTAAATCTTCCGCGTCTAAACTTTGCACTATATCGACCGTTTGTTCCTGATCAATTTCGACTGTAAAAACAACACTTAATGCATTTTTATTGTCACTAGTGCATTCAATTTCACCAGATGTCTCGCATCTATGTAATTCAGCAGGTATTATATGGCAACTTTGTTTTTCATCACTGTTTTCTATTTTAGTTTTGGATTTATCTTCTGCAATGTACCAAGCACTTCGACCTATTTCGGGATTGGACTCCTGGACACTTTTAGAAGCCAATGCGTCTTTGCAACGTCTGATGTAACCTTTTACCCTGTTGGCTTTACTTTTTCGGGATGGGTCGGTTCGAGCCATACTTGAGTCGTTGGGGTTTTCATTTACTGGCACTTGTAGGACGCGTTCTGGTTCTGGGCATTCTTTAGCATTTTCCGGCGGTTCGGCGGGTTTCCACGATGAATGACCCTCGGTGTTTGCTTCGGCAATGTCTTTATGGGACGGCGTCACCTGGAAGAAAAGAAATATAAAATTAATAAAAAAAAGTCTAAACTCATATTTAGTGATGAAACTCTATAGAGAAGTATTGAGGTATGGTTTTGAAGAATGTGGTAGTACAATATGCAAAAGGCTGTCGAGAACAGATACACCTTATGCAGGAATGCACAAAGTTAATGACATGGAGACAGTTTCATTAAATCTGAAAAGTCTATTATCGGTTCTGAATGGAAGAGACAATGTATAGAAGATGCTGTATTACGTAAAGATATAAATTTTATCAAGAAAATTATTTCATGATGCAATATTAATTCTGAACAATATTTAAGCGTTATTATTATTAAAATATCAGTTTCAGCAGTATCTAAATTGACTGTCTGTGATATTATTAGACGCTTGAGTAAGAAATTTATTAAATGATTTGCCGTCATGTAAAATCATTTCAATCAACGTATATATCCCGAGTTTTCTACATGAATCGAAGCATAGAGAAATAATTTAGGAGGCTGGTGGAAAATTTTTATATTCTTGTAATATAAAAAAATTGTTTTCATTTTCCGCATCAATGTACAAATATCATTTGTCTTATATTTGGATAGAGAATATATTTGCATTTTGTGATTACAAAAATTAAAAAAAATTACGTTGTTTAACTCTTTGACTCTCTTGACCTGTGTGTACGGAGCATCGCAGGTATCAGACAATACATTTTGCTAAATTTATTATTCTGAGTTAAATTATTGATAATTCTAATTTGTTATTACGGTTTTTAGATCTTTCGAATTACAATAGTAATTATATATTTTTATCGATAATTATTGAAAAATCTTCAAATATTTGGCGGCTTGTTCCTGCGACAAGGTGAGGTTCCAAGGAAGGGGTGAAAATAAAGCTTATGTCCTTTAAAACAAATTATTTTTATTTTTCCCCGGCCTTAGGACTAAATCAACTTAACGCATGCAAATATAAACATGTGAGTTAGCGGTTTGCAATTACTTGTCACGAGTTTGAAATAATAATGATTTATTTCGAACACATCCTCCCGAGACTGCGAAACGGCAGAGATATATCGCATGGGTGGAACTTGTTTACAACTATTCATTAACTTTATATAGCTTACATTGCCAGCTAGGTATACACCGATATTATGCACAAACGAGATATTTAAAAATCCAAAACCAAAAAAGAGCAAAAACGAAAGTGCTAGAGTTACTGTACTCGTAATTGAAATGATCCAACGTTAAGGGAAATGTAATATCCAACTTATAGTAATGCAAGTTATGAAAGAACAATTATTATTTAAGACTACTATAATATTTTATTAATTATGAATAAGAATAATCTTTTTTTTCTCTAATTGTTATTTTTAGCGAAAGCAAAAATGTAAAAAGATTTTAAATGATTTCTAACGTTTCAATGGATGATTAATTTATGATATCATTTGTATGTTAAAAGATCTTAAGTAGATAGTGAAACGCAGAAATGAATCACAATGAGCGATTTGTATCAATCAAGTGATTTATACGGACAAAACGCTTCTGTATGTAAACATCAAGATTAGTGATGGAAATATGGAAGTAAATTCGATAGAAAACAAGTAGACAGAGATAAAACTTCTTACCAACATCAAAAAACAACCCAAAGGCTAGCCTATCTATATTTTATAGACTTTTGCTATTAGAATTTATCGAATACTAATGTTTTTTTAACTTAAAGCAAAAATGCTAGGTAAACACATTTTTCACTTGAAATCATTTCAGGTGAAAATGCGCTTTTCTTCCCAATCTCACTTGTAGATACAAATCTAAATATGATTTCAATGAAATTATATTTGGATTTATAGTTACAAGTGAGAGTGGACATCATTACTATGCAAACTATATTCTATAATCTAGAATCTGGAACAAGATCTTACTAGTAAACAACAGATTAAACCAAAGAGAAATTTTGGAATTGGTTAGAATTCATAAAGGCCTTTACGATGAGTAGTTTTAAATAAAAGATTCTTATTGATTATTATTGGTAAATTGGTAAGCTTTTTTTAAAAATAGACCATTTCATGAAAAAATATAAATGCAATAAAACTGCATAAATTATAAGTAAAAATTGCTCTGGTTTGAAAAAAAATTAATAAATATCATATGTATTTATGTTTTAAATGTAAATTATTTTTATCTTAAAAAATTCAAACATTTTCGAAAAAAATTAAAAAAACAATTATTTTCTCTAGCTACTAAAAATACATGTGATAGTTGGTGAGGGATGGGATAGGGGGTTTAATTTTAAATTAGACCAGGTACCACCAAGGGGAAGGGGTGGTCCAAAAAACAAAGATTTCTTACGTGATTAATGGACGCCCCCTTATTGCAAATATCTATAATTATAGATATTTCTCTAAAACTATAAAATAATTTGTGTTTCACTTTTTTATGCTGTTATCATTATGTAAATTGAAACAAATTATAAGTTATGAGCAGCACTACAACGAATCCAATTCTGTAGAACAAACATTAGAAACTAGTTTAAATTTTACAAGCTCTTTTGAAAAGAATTCTGCTAATGATTACGGTTTCGCTATCGCTATTATTCGATTTTTTTTAATTTGCGTGAGATGTTTCGTGAGAAACTATTTCGGCATGTCTAGAATTGAAATTATGTGCATAAGTCAAATCGTTCGAGACGCGGAAGTTTTGCGGGAGATTCGCTTTTCAACCGTCGGTAATTGGATTCGATGGACGCGGATTAATTAGCTTAATTAATTAGTTGAGGCGCTTCACGAAATCTGAAGACAATCTTCAGATAATTGTTGGCAAAATTTCACGCAAATATTTAATAAATTTGGTATAATAAAACATAAGTCATCGAAACGAGCTAAATAATTAATCAGTGAAACTTTTTTTTGAAAATATTTATGAATATTTATATAAATCAAATGTGACGTGTTGAAAATAATATGAAATGGTAATTATGCACAATAAAAAGAAATTTCTTGAAATGACATAAAATCTTATGACGACGAATGATGCATTCTAATATATTACCCCATCAGAAGAATATCTAATCAATTAACTTGAAAGTGTGAAGAACAGGTCGATATATTCAAATTCAAATGTATCATAATTTCTGTTATGTTTTATTATGTTTGCTTTATGAAAGCACGTGGTCTAATCGTTTATTACCGAAGCAATAATTAAAAGTTTATTAATAATAACTTTCATCGTCACCGGCAGCTTCTATCAACACTTGATACCGTAATTATATTGAGAACATTATTATCAGTAATGGAAGGAAAAGTGATTACGGCTTATTGCTTTGACTGATGCAGAACATAATTTATTTTAATCTCCCTTGAAATGATCGGGTTTATATTTCTCTCGTGTGTTTTATTTTTCGGTATCCGATGTCTGATGTGGACTACGATTGCATTATTTGCCTCGGCCGAGGAGATAGAAACATCATATTGACTATTAGCATGCCAATAAATATTATCTACGCGCCGATCGTGACCAACTGAAGGAGAGAAAGCACTCTTGTACAAATTGCTTCAATTATACAAATTGTGATATACCTATAAAGGCAGCACGCAGCATAAAAGTTGATAAATTATAAACATTGCCAGCATTTTTTTTAAATAACACACGTGATTGGCTCTGAGAAATGGATAATCTTTCCACATCTGATTGTGAATGAAATCTAAAAATCCTTTACTTTGGACAGAAGAGTTATAAATAATTAATATAAAATACTAAAAATCGAATTAATAAGCTCAAATCACTTTCTAATAGGCCCTCTTTAGTATCCCAGTCGGTCAAGAAATACTCTAATGGTATTACTGTGATGAATCCATTTATTATTAAAAAGAGCGACATTTTTAATTACATCATCAAAAGTATACATTTTCATTTACCCTATAATCATTTATATTCAAGCTCCTATTTAGCTTATGTGTTAAAATTACTCAACATTCAAGGTACGATGATTAAATCTAAATCATTATTTCTAAAGGTTTAATTTTAGAATCACCTCGACTAAAAATAAGCACCTGGAGAACCACAAAAAGCCGTAATTTAGTTGATTCTAGCGTGGTTAAAAGGCGGAGGTGGATCGATTTTACATTTACCATTTCACGCGAGTTTAATTTCTATTTTTGCGATCGCGGGATGTGCAGCCGTGGGCGCCGCCGGGTTGCGCTATCGATCGCCCTGACCTAGGGGCGGACGAAGCAAACAACATCGATGTCGAGGAAGAAAAAATTGAAAGAAATTAAAGAACCATCATAGACCGAATGTAAAGATAACATCGAAATCATCATAGACTGAATGTAAAGATCACATTGAAATCCAGCGCTAATTCAAGAACTATTATTGATACCCAATGGTTATACAACTAAATCATATACAATAACCTGTTCATCCCTTTATGGTAAAACTTTTAGCAAAAAGTTCATTATTATCCTAACCCAACAGTGTAGACCACTGTTATTTGCTTAATATTCTATAGAATAAAAGGAAACAACAAAAACTGCATTTACACAAATTTGGCCAAATCGTACAATAATGTCCTTTGTTTTTCCTAATAATTTAAATTTATATATAATTACCTCCTCAACTTATAGAGTACTGTCCATTACTCTTATTACAAGTGCTACTATTAAATATATATTATATTTATATTATCCATACAAGTTCTTTCGAATTCGGAATTTTCCAAGTAAGCATCCCTAAAGACCACTCCTTGCGGTATGTTTTCCGCGTGCCGTGCTCCGACTGACACCGGAAAAGCGTCTGCTTGATTTTCAATTGGAAGGGTTTGCTGCATTCCCAGTAAAACATTTATGAATGATTCAAATAATTTAAAAAATCGATAAAAAAAACATTTTTAATGATAATCGAAGAATATTATTGAGAAAGTGCGATTTTTGTAACTATTTGAATGTAATTGAAAATATTTATTTAAAATTAATGGCGAGCAATATTGCCTAGGTGGAATATTGCTGCTAGAGTCGTCATTTA